TCCTACCTGCGGCGGCAGAAACAAGTGAGCATGGACAGAAACAAGTGAGCATGCAGGTTCTGCGCCAGCGCCATCACCACCTGCGGCAACGGAAACAAGTGAGCATGGACAGAAACAAGTGAGCATGCAGGTTCTGCGCCAGCGCCATCACCACCTGCGGCAACGGAAACAAGTGAGCATGGACAGAAACAAGTGAGCATGCAGGTTCTGCGCCAGCGCCATCACCACCTGCGGCAACGGAAACAAGTGAGCATGGACAGAAACAAGTGAGCATGCAGGTTCTGCGCCAGCGCCATCATCACCTGCAGCAACGGAAACAAGTGAGCATGGACAGAAACAAGTGAGCATGCAGATGCTGCGCCAGCGCCATCATCACCTGCGGCGGCGGAAACAAGTGAGCATGGACAGAAACAAGTGAGCATGCAGGTGCTGCGCCAGCGCCATCATCACCTGCGGCGACGGAAACAAGTGAGCATGGACAGAAACAAGTGAGCACGCAGGTGCTGCGCCAGCACCATCATCACCTGCGACGACGGAAACAAGTGAGCATGCAGGGTGCTGCGCGAGCGCCAGCGCCATCATCACCTGCGACGAACGTTCACATGCTGCTACACAATTTGCACATGAGTGGCGGGCCGACACACGAGAATACGCAGCAAGTAAACTCATGCGATAGTCCCACAATGGGGGCCAACGCGCAAGAATAAGAGCATCGTAAATGCATGCGACAGTCCCACAATGGTGAGGCCGTGTATCAGACTGGTACAGTTTGCATTCTAGGTGTACAGGTGATAAACTATTATAGACCAAAAATGTATCACTGTTGAAAAGGTACAGCTGTCCTCACTGCCAAAAAACATGCATGAGGCTTTCATGAGCAAACATGCACATTGCGCATCATTTCAGTTCAGTGTGTTAGCCAGAGACCCGTCTACCCATCTTTTAGACAGCCTATTCTTGGATGAGACGGATGAAATTTGGTAGAGACGGCATGAGGGCGGCCCAATTTTATATATTATACACATTGTATAACTGACAACAGTGCTTATAAGAATGTAAAATCATATCAGATTCCTGTCTTTTTGGCATTTCAGACAAAATTTCCTCCATTTTACGGTAAGGGCCTCCCTGCTAGGGCGCTTCGTGCCTGCAGCATCCTCGCTTCGCTCAGATGGTGAGACTCCCTGATTTTTTTCCTGGCTAACACCCTGTTTCAGTTGGTTATGAGATGATTATTGTCTAATAACACAATAAGGTCTACATTGGTTAAAAGATAATAAATTTGTAATAGAACGCACACTAAACTACGATATCCAACGCTGTATTTACCAATTACCTTGTGATCCTGCATATCAGATGCCCACATGGCACATGTCCCTTAAGTGTACTGAAAGAGGGTTTGAGTAACAAAAAACTGCATTGTGTCACATACCTGTGCCTCTGACAGCCCCAGTTCTATCATCTCTATGTTCTTCTGCAGGATAGAAGTCTTCTCCTCCATCAGGTTTGAATCAGCTTTGTCCTTCTTGATGGCCTGAAAAAGCATTCGAATTGCTTGTGTCACATCAGTGAAAACCAGCACGATTGTGCTATTCAATATTATTGCAGTAATATCAATACTCATAACAGTAATAAATGTTTTTTTATATAAACGGGGCCCAACTCTGAAATACCTGCAATAGCAAGAAAAAGCTTACATATATACATATAATACATACTACCTATCTATAAATATATACATACACATATTATATATATATCAAGAGCTAATAATGACAAAGGAGTAAGACACCTCTTTAGTACTGATTTCACTACATTTTTGTCGTACGAGTTCGATGTGAATAAAAATACAAATGTATATACAAACATGAGCTTCTTTCTCTTGTTTCACTGGTCCTTAATTCTATCTCTCCTCGTCGGGTAGCTATTACAAAACCGCCGTAGACTTCTTAGTTGGACATAAATCCGTACTGTTGCCACGAATGGGTTTTACGTACTTAGTTACCGTTTTTGGCGAGGCCAAGCGCCAAATTCGCAACACGTACTTGAAGGAGCAGACGCCAGGCTTGTTCGGCGCGTTATAGCTGCGACGGGTGCAGAAAATGCGGCTTTAGAAATTAGTTAGTTGCGCCCATGCTGGGTTTAAAAATTAAACTTATTTACTTTAAACTATAGTTAATGCCTTGTTTTGTTATTGGTTGAATACCCGCAGCTTTTTTTAAATAACGCTTGTATGACCCGCTGGTAAAATATCTGAACTATTCACGGCGGAGGAATGATGTTGCTATGAATCGTATATGAGTAGACTGCACCGCTCCAGCGATTGTGTAGCTTTCTGGCACATTGTGTTTTGGCAATAGCAACCGTAGCTCTAGTAACTATAGCCCGCGTACAGTTGCCCCGCTGGCCTCTGCCTGATGGCCGGATCCCCTGCCTGTGCCCTCTTCAAGTAGCTGTGTCAGCCTGTGTGTACTGATTTAGCGCTTGATCGCGCAGATGAGGTAATTAGCGTGAAACGCATGGTCGTGCAATAAGTAGACGATTGTTTTATGTCAAAACTAAGTGGGAAGCTACGGCGGTTTCTAATTACTATTCCGGAAGATTAGAATTAAGGACCAGTGAACAAAGAAGTCTCATGTTTGTATACATTGTATTTATTACTTCAACATCTCGAACTCGTCCGACAAAAAATGTAGTGGAATCATGCTTACCAAAGAGTGTGTCTTACACCTTTGTCATTATTAGCTCCTGATATAATATATATGTATACACACTAAGCACAAGCACAAGGCACACACCCGCACGCACGCCGCGCCATGCACACACGCAGCACAAATTTATTTTTATATATCAGTGAAGTAGTAAATAGGGCCCTATCTCCCTGATTCCTATTTCTGATATATATATAAAATAGGATGGTTATCTAGTGACCGTTCGGGGATTTGGTCTCGTTCCGGGTTCTACTTACCTTTTCAGTGAGACATAAGGCCTGTGAGGGATTGACATTGTTTTTTTCATTTGACGCGATGGGCATCAGGCCTTGCACCCAACCTGTGCGCGTGCTGCCCACATTCTCATCTGCGTCAGTGCGTTCGTGTCATCCTGGTCCGTCGATTCTATCTTCTTTCCTGTAACAAAAAGCACAGCACTTAGTTCACACAGCTTACACGTCACAAGTCCTTA